GGGAGCCCGATGCGGGACTCGATCCCAGGACTCCAGGATCATGACCTGAGCCGAAGGCAGTCGCTTAACCAACTGAGCCACCCAGGCGCCCCTAGACTGTTCTTAATAAACATTATTCAATCTATCTAGCCTCAACTTAAATATTTAAATAGGCTCACTACTTTCCTCTAAACTGTCTTAACTATAAAACTAATCAATCACATTAAAAAAAGCTTTGAAAATATTGGGGAAAGAACACTAACCATAACTTCCTTAATATAATTTGTTTTTTGATGAACTCCCTTTTAATCTATGTTTTACATAGATGTAGTAGTTCCATTTTACAGATGAAGAAACTAAGGCACAGAGCCTAAGTGACTTGTCCTAAATCATGCAACTAAGTGACAAAGCTATGATTTGAATGCATGAAGTCTGGTACCAAAGTTCATGCTGTATTTAATGGAGAGGATTAAATTACTTAGTATATGGAAAGCACTTAGAACAGTATATGATACAAGGTATAGATTTAGTAAGTGCCAGCTATTATTGTCATTGCTATTATGACGAGTACATTTAATATAATTTGTCATCCACTTTGAATTGTCATAGATTTTCACTAAATGAGGTAGATTTACTTTGAATTAGATCATAAATGATTTTAATACCACCATACAATCTTATTAACTATTATTTTTTATGACTGCAATATTCTATAGAATGACCCTGCAATAATTAATTAGTTCTTGCTATTGACTATATTTTTTTTCATCTTTTATATTGTATATAACACTATGAGCATTATTTTTTATGCATTAAGCTTTTTCCCTTAATTTAGGCCATTTTTTTAGGATAGATTGCCAGAAGTAAGAATTATGCATTAAAAGGTTTAAACATTTTTATGGTTATTTATGCATATAAAAAATGGCTTTACAAAGGCATTAAAGCATAGCTGTTTTAGGGAGTCTGTTCAACAATTCAATATTTGCATGTTATAAAACATTTTCATTAATACTAGCTTTATCCAAAGAATTTACACAAGATAAATCCCATTTCTTTTCAATATGAGAGACTTTCAAATATTTAGATTTTTTTTTTTAAATATATGCCTTCAGCACCTACACTCCTATGGAACCTCTCAACTCTCCTTCAGATTTTTTTTTTTTATGCTAAACATCCCCAACTTTCCCTCAAGCACCTCTGGTCTGACAAAATTACCAGGTGCTTAACCATCTGAGTCATAACTCCCAAATACATTCCATTGTGCCTATGTCCCTTTTAATTTGGAGATTACAGACATGGTCTGACAGTGCAGAGCACAGAGGGGTGATCACTTTCCTTGACAAGGGCATCTATTTCCAGCAATGCAGCCTACGGTCACTTTAGCATTTTTGATACTAAAATACACTGTTGGCTCATGTTTACTTGCTATCAACAAACCCCCCTGTCATTTTTACATGAACTCCTATTGAGTCAGGTTGCCCACATCCTGTATTGATGTAGATAATAGTAGGCAGCTAAGTGAAGTTATTTACATAGGTTCATATTAAATTTTAACTAGTTTATTAAGTTTCTAGTTCCAGAATTTTGAGACACTTCTGATTGCCCAAATAGATATACTGATTTACTTGATGCATAACTTTATGCTTTCTGTATCTTCTCAAAAGTCATAAACAAAGATACAGGCTAAGACAACCCAAGTACATTCTTATGGCACATAATTAAAGTCCTTTGGTTGATAGTAATCAGCATCTTTGTATATAGCTTTTCAGCCAGCAATGAATCAGCAGCCGTGAATCCACCCAAGTGCCTTAACACTCAACCACATTCATCCACACTATTCCCAAAGATATCACAAGAAAACTTGTTAAATGGCTTCCTAGGACTAAAATAAATCATGATTATATTTTTTCATTAATTATTATTAAAGCAATTCTATAATTCTGTCTAAAAAGACAGTAAGTGATTTTAACCTGTGTCTCACAACTATCCTTATTTTCTAAATGCTTACAAACTAGTATATACTAATACTAAATCTTATGATAATCAAATGTTTATATTTGCTAACTTCTCTATGAAATTATCAACTCCTCATAGGAAAAAGTCATTTATACTTCTATGTATGCTTTGTGAACTAACACAGCAGCAGGCTTAACCACTATTTATCATTTCAGCCCCCAAATAAAATATATAATAAAGTAATATATAATACAATAAATAAAATATACTGAAATCTCTCTTCTATATATTTTATAGTTTTTTAATACAAATCAACCTGCAATTTGAAGACACTCAGCTTATTTTGAATAACGTTACATTACTAACAGAGGGTAACTATCTGATTATGTCTATGAGACTGTCATTGTCTTAGAACTAGTCATAAAATAACTAAAATAAAATGTTTCCTTTTATTCAAAAATGTTAATTGAGTTATTTAACTTCCAGGGTGCTTGTTGGTTCTCCTCTAGTTGGTCAACCCAAGAACAGAACTGGAGATGTCTATAAGTGTCCAGTTGGGAGAGGCAAACCATTACCTTGCATAAAGTTGGATCTACCAGGTACGTAAAGTCAAAATGTTAAAGCCTGATCCTAAGTTATACCCAGTATTCTCATTAAAAATAAATTTTAACTCAAGAAAAGATTACAAGAATCTATAAATATTCTTCAGTTCTTATCACTCAGATTCACATAAAATGACATTTTGTCTGCCCTTCATTTGCTTTAGAATTCATTATAGAATATCCATAGATTTAGAAATAAAAGACCTTTCCAAATAACCCCACCCATTACATTGCCTCCACAAAATTTAACTGTTTCTTTTTAAAAAGAAAATAGCATAAGACTTGTAATACATAAATTCTTTTAAAGAGAATAGTACAAGGTAAATTTATATAGAAATGGGTATGTTTGATAGAAATATCACTGTAATTAGAACATGACTAGAAACTTCCTGTTAGAACTATCCAAGAATTAGAATCCTATCAGTGTTCTATACAGTATTAAATACCATTAAATTAGTATATATTTTGCAGGTTTAACTTCAAATATTTTATTTTTCAGTTCTCTTTCTTTCAATTTTGTTTGTTTATTATGAACATTTTTCCTTTACATTTATGAGCATAGTTATAATAGCTGCTTTAATATCCTTGTCTGATAATTAGAACATCTGGAATATCTCAACATCACTTTCTATTTATTACCTTTCTCTTGAGCTTGAGTCACATTTTCCTGTTTTATCTTGTGTTTAGTAATTTTGGATTATATCCTGGATTATACTTTTGAGTTATAAGTGTGGAGATTCTAGATCTTTTATGTGTCTTTGAATAGTCTTAACTTTTTGTTTTAGCAGACAGTTTACTTGGCAGAACTCAATTTCCAAACTGCAGTGGGAAGCAGTTAAAAACTCTATTCAGTTCTTCTAATTGTAGCTGAGCTGTTTGAAATTTACCCTGCACATATACAGTTCAAGTCCTTCAGATATTTGGACAGAATATACACGTATATGTTGGAACTCTCTTTTTGTGGTTCTGCTTTCCAAGATATACCCCCTCACTTTGCAGTTGCTGTCATTACCCCAATTTCTGTCCTCTGTTTCTTCAAAACGGTAAGACTTTGAGCTTTATTTGAGGTTTAGCCACTGACAAGAGCCTTCCCTTGGGGGAAAACAAACACATAAACAGGAAACTCACCCAGTGCTTATCTTTTCTTACAAGTACATACTTGCCTCCAGTTTCTGTCTGCTTTTGGTTGCTTTCCAGTGCTTTCAGATGGTTTTTTTCTTTTTTTTTTTTCTCCTTTTCCTAGAGTTATAGTTGTTATTTGCAAAGGACTTGTTCCGATAGGAGCTATTCTTTCATTACTGGAAACTGTAATAGAGTTTTAACATTAGCTTGGAGATTTTAACTACATCAACAACAGTGGAGAAGTTCCTGCTATAGTCTGTAATGTCCCAAGAATGTTCATCCAGGGTCAACACTAGAATAAAAAAACTCTAATCCAGATTATTCAAGACCTGTGTAGATAATAGCCCAGTTCCAAGTACTTTCAAGGCAAACCAGACTAAACTCTGGGACAAGGACCACTGTCAGATTAGGAAGACAGTGTGACCATTCAGGAATCTCGGCTTCCATTCCCTCACTTTAAGCCGTATATGGTCTTAAGGTAGGAAAAACTTCTGGGCATTAACAGTGAGATAAATCTTTCTTGAACCTGAGTTTTGCCACTTTCAAATATTTCAGCACTCTGCTAAGCAGGGTTTAGAAGATTTTTATTTCCCGTTCCAATCTTTTTTTTTTTTTTCAATATGAATAACTGGAACTTCTTGCCAATTTTGCTAGGTTGGCATGCTTCAAGACCCAACGTTCCTATCTCAAATGTCAAATGGTATCCTTTCATTGTGTTTCTTTTCTCCAAACGTCCTGACCAATGCTCAGTCTTGCTCCAGTTTTGTTTGTTACCTTCATGATGTCCCCATGATGGTGAAATTAATGGTCATAAACTTATATTTGGTACTTGAGGGTTTTTTTTTCTGCTCTACTACTCATTTTGCCTCTTGTCAGAAATCATGTTTTATCATTGGTTATTTATAACATATAGATATAACATGCAAGGTAGGTGTGTAAGTTTACATTATGTCTATAATATTATGAGGTTAAATATTTTATTTGTTTTAATTAGCAAAAATGTGTGAAAGGCTATCCCACATTCTCTCATTGCCCCAATAGTTCTGCATTCTTTTACAGTTCGGCAAAACTATTTGAGACAGCTATCCAGACAAAGTTTCTGGGACATAAGCCAGGTTTTTAGCCTTAGCTTGTTCATTATATTCCTTAATAATACTTTGAAGACTATTTAGTTGAATCAGACGAAGAAAGTTCTATGATATGAGCAAAGCAAATAGAATGTCTTAATGAGAAGACACTTAATTATACTTTGTTTTCCACCCTCATAAAATTTTGTTCTATTTTTAGTTAATACATCAATTGCCAATGTCACGGAAGTAAAGGAGAACATGACTTTTGGATCAACTTTAGTCACCAACCCAAACGGAGGGTTTCTGGTAAGATAGCAAAGAGTTGGTTAATGAACCAGGAATGCTGTTATTCTAAGACTTTATAAAATCTGTTATATAATTTTTAATCTTATGGTTTTTAATTTTTTAAAAGGCATGTGGCCCCTTATATGCCTATAGATGTGGACATTTGCATTACACAACTGGAATCTGTTCTGATGTCAGCCCCACATTTCAAGTTGTGAACTCCATTGCTCCTGTACGAGGTACACATTTTATGCAATGTTCTTACATGTTTGAAAAGTGTAAGCAATGAATGAGACATATGTATACACAGGAGCATACCAAAAAGCTTGAAGTATTTTCTCAGCTACCAGCATTACCAATTTAGGTAAATGTTTGCTTTGCCAATTTATAACCAAACCTCACTTCTATTTTTGGAGCTGATTATTAGTGTAAATAACCTTTAACAGAATCTTGTTTAAACATCATAGCTAAAGCTGTCACACTGTTTTTATTTAAAGAGTGAGTCTCTTTGAAGAAAGTAATCTCATTTGAAATACACACAGAATGAGAACAGTTATATAAAAAATTCATATTGAGAAAATTTCCGAAGATAACTCATACAATGTTGATTAAAATTAAGTAGAGATGAGTTTTACTTGATAAGAATCCCAAACCAATTGCTATTGAATGCAGTAGTATTTATCACCTTTACTTTTCCTAAAACTATTTTTTCTGATTATAAACCCAATGTATACACTATGTAAACTCTCAGCTTATCTTTTAAAATGAGCTTATTTCAGCTATGAAAACACTCCATACACCTTCATACTATCTAAAAAGACAAACTCCAAATTTGCACAGTTGACTCTTTTTATTACAGAATGCAGCACCCAACTGGACATAGTCATAGTGCTGGATGGCTCCAATAGTATTTACCCCTGGGAGAGTGTTACAGCTTTTTTAAATGACCTTCTTGAAAGAATGGATATTGGTCCTAAACAGACACAGGTATGTGACTATGCATTTTGACTTCTGTTGTTCTAAAGATAAAAATGTATAGATTTTTAATAATACAAAATACTCCAAAAATAAATTAATCAATAAAGCTAATATTTGGGATGAATTTTATGTTCCATATGTCTGACCCTGTTATTTTCTAAACAGAAAATATTATGAAAACTGCCATTTCTAATGCTCTTAAAAAATATCCCCTATAAATCTCTGTAAAATCATGATTGTATTCTTACTTATAAGGCAAGTGTAGCCACCTTTGGTAATGTCAAAGCAGGGTTTCAGAATTTGTGGAAACTAATCTAACATCCCAAAGAACACATCACATTACAATCTCCTTTCTCATATTATGAGAGATATTTCTCACAAGTAAATTCATAGGTGACCACAGGATATTGCTTAAGGTCCTTTTTTTCTCATATTTAATAATTTCTTTTCTTAAGCGAAAAGCACATGCTCCATGTTTTAGCTACAGTTAAGTTTGTTAGTTTTTTTTTAATTTCTCCCCATGAGTATCTGTTTCTAAACACATCCCCTTTATTGTCATTAAATGAAGTGAAACTTATCATGTGGCTCTCCCACTTCAGACACTGAGTTTGGGTTTAACTAATCTAATGTTTATTAAACTGAGGGTTCTTGAGGGGAGGGGAGTGGGGGGATGGGTTAGCCTGGTGATGGGTATTAAAGAGGGCACGTATTGAATGGAGCCCTGGGTGTTATACGCAAACAATGAATCATGGAGCACTACATCAAAAACTAATGATGTGATGTATGGTGATTAACATAACATAGTAAAACTTAAAAAAAATCTTATATGGCTGTATGGCTTAAAATATGGAGATGACAGTGAATAAAAGGCAAATTAAATGTCAGAGTGAAGTCAGTGCCTTGAGAGCAGAAATTAGTACAGGAGTCAGAGTCAAAATGGTTGTTGCATGGTTTGGGGACTGCAGGAGAGCACAGGACATTTTAGGACTGTACAAGCAGACCAATGTCTTTCCTTTTCTTTCTGAGAGCTCGACTTTTGGAGAAATTTCTGAGGCACTGAAAAAGTGGTATGACTGCATTAATGTTTGGCACACCCACATATAGTGTGGGACATAAATACACACAGATGTGTGTATGTGTATGATATGCTTGTATATATTTATGTATATGTATACCTATAAATATAAATTTATATACACATATATATAAAATGAATTTTCCCAAAAGGATAGTAGTTGAAGATTGCAAAGTAGACGCAAAACCTCAAAGTGAAATGTCATATGGCTGTGTTCCAAGACTGAATAGGCGAGAGCTAGGTAAGGGGCAAGGCTGTGTATATCCTACTGTACCATAAAGAAATCTTGAAATCAGTGTAAAATTATTTAAAGAAAATAAACTTTTATGCCTCACAAAATGTAAATTTTCCTGGATACCATTTTCTCATTTGCAGTTAATCTTCCCAAGTGAATTACCAGAGGTTTTGAGGGGATATTATATCTCTTCTTGCTACAGGCCATAAGGCAGCCTGCATCCTTTAAAAGACCACTCCAGAATGTGACTTCCTCCTCCATTTTTTTTCTCCTTCTGAGGACCTCTCTCTTCCTTTTTTCCTCTCTTCTCCATCCTTTCTCTCTTTGGTCAATAAAATTTCATAGCGCTATAAAATTAAAGCTGGGCAGAACTGTGGAGGTCATTTAGCCCCCAAATCTCAATTTATGGAGGGGATGGGAGAGTCTAAGTAACTTGTTCAAGGTTACTTGCTTATTGATGACAGATCAGAAACCATGGCTTTTCCAACTGCAGTCGGGCTCTCTGTCCTTGCGGAGACCTCTACTTCTGGAGAAGTTTCAGAGCTGGTCCTAAATGTTAGGTCTCTAGTCCTTTTCATTTCATCATGACTGTCCCTGTCCTTCTGCGGCCAGCCCTGTGGCACTCTCTTCCCTGACCCCTGACACACCTGCCGTGAAAGGGCGAGACCGCAGCTCTGTCCTCTCTCACTACCTTCCCCAGGACGTGCTTTCTTCACTTCCACCTGTTTTGCCCACCTCATTTGCTTCCTTAGCCAGTCCTTTCTTTCCAAATTCAAGAATAGTCTGGGAATATTTTTTTTTAAATTTCAAGTATTTTTTATTCATCTGGAAACTTTATTTTATTTTTAAATTCATTTATCTGTTTCACTGTAAAAAATGTATTTATCTGTAGCTATTTGCGGACAATAGTGCAGCAGTGACATGTTTGAAATTGCTCCACAACATCAAGAAGGAAATCTACAAGGCTCTCTTAGAAAAATAATCACCGCCTCAGTGGGGATCTGTGCCAGTGATGACTCTGTTTTGTAAAGAAATAGATAACAATCAGTTGCTTATATACTCAACCCATCCTGCTGCAATTTTAATGTTTCTGTCCACTAGAACTGTAATTAATTTTATATTTCTATAGTGAAAGTCCTAATAAAGGAGCTATTCTGCCAGCCACCAGTGGAATTCTAGCCAGCCAGTGTGGGCTGTATGGAATCCTATGTCTTTCCTTGGGGGGAACAATCACTCTATTCAGAGGAATAGGGGTCAGGGCTTAAGGGTTCAGATGCTACCAGTGAATGGAAGGGAAATGAAGATACTCTGAGGCAGAAGAGTCAGGTCACATTTACTCAGTTCTAAGACACCATTCCACAGAGGGGAAAATTTCAGAATGCAACCCTGTGCACCGAGTCAGTTGTGATATCTGCTGACTTCACCCAAGGAAACCTTCTTCCTAAGGAGAAAGGAGCTTCTTAAATGGCTAAATTTTTATGTCGCATTTCGCTTGTATAATTCATTGTGGAGTTTATCCATACTCCTTCATTCATTTACTCAAATGTTTTCCCTGAGGGTTTACAGTGTACTGGGCTCTGGGCTAGGGCTTGGATAATTGTGGAGAATAAGACAGACACAGCCAGTGCCCTCATAGGGCTTCTGTATAATGCAGTGTTTCTCCAAAAGTGGCTCATAGAATTTCTTTTTCCAAATCCCTGAGGTCCTTGGGCTGTACCCCAGATTTTCAGAATCAGAGTCTCTTAGGGTGGGGCTCTAGAGCCTGCATTTTAAGTAAGCAAGCTACATGATCCTTAAACACAGTAAAATTTGAGAAACACAGGACTAATGCATTATTCTATATAGTGTACGTGTGTCTGCTGCATCTCTAGATACGGACTTTATATCACCTTTTAATCCTTTTCAGTGGTAGCCAGTGCTTTGCTGTGATATAGTGGGCCTTTAATGAGACTCTGTTGAATAAATGTGTATATCATAATTAATGCTTTTAAAATTTTTTCTCTGATAGGTGGACATTTAATGAGACACTTTTTCTATAACTGGCATTTTAATATTCTTTTAAGTATATTACTTTATACTTTGGGCTTTAGTGTTTATACTTTAGTATTTTCTAATCTTTTTCTATTTTGGCTTAAGTTGTATTGATGACTAGTTTCATAAGTAATTCTCTAAATGAGATGGATTGAAAAGGACATATTTACTAAGCCATCAATTTTGCTAAACTGTATTTACTAAGGTTTTAAGTGCATTTAAACTCCCTTTAAAGTTTGACCTTCCTTCAGTGGATTCAGAAAAGAAATTTGTTCATAGAAATTTTGGAAAAATACTTCCTCTTCAAAGAAATGTGTACTGAAAAGTATGGTTATCTTTCATGTGGTCTTATAGTAATTCTCTCCAAAAACATAAATAATTTATTTTAACAACCATTTTTTTCCCTGACTGGTGGTAACATAATTTAAATAAGTTTGGATTGTTTTGTCTTTTGTTTTTGTTTTTGTTTGTTTTCAATTAAAGCACCCAATTCTGCCCAAAGATTGACAGAATTTGCTTCTGGAATTTTTCTTCCCAAGTACTTATCCTCTGCCGGGCGCGGTGGCACGTGCCTGTAGTCCCAGCTCCTTCGGAGGCTGAGGCAGGAGGATCACTTGAGCCCAGGAGTTCTGGGCTGTAGTGTGCTATGCTGATGGGGTGTGCGCACCAAGTTCGGCATCAATATGGCTACCTCCTCCCGGGAGCCGGGGACCACCAGGTTGCCTAAGGAGGGGTGAACCAGCCCAGGTCAGAAACGGAGCAGGTTAATTACTTATCCTCCCCGCCTTCATTCCTGAAAGGGGAAGATATAAAAATAAATTGTGAGAGAGCCTACAGATAGAAAGCTAAAAGCTGGATGATGAGTTCTTAGACTCCTCACCCACCTCAAAGGTATAAAGGAATTAAGAATGGAGTTGAGGGGATTTATGAAAAGTCTAGTGAGAAAGGCTTCAGTGGGATCATACAGTGATCCACTGTATGATGTGTGGTGTGTCCACTAAAGTTGGGACACACCTTGACTAGTGCCTGACCTTTGCCTGAAATACCTAACGGGGGAGATAGCAGCCGACCAGCTCCTGACAGGCAATCAGATGAGAGGTAGCCGCAGTCGAATTGGCCTGCAGGCCCAGCGTCTGTCAATACAAAGAATGTGTATGTTTATGAATCATCGTGGAATCGTGCTAGGTCCTGTCCATAGACTCTCCTGGAGGTGAGCAGAGGCTTCTTCTGCACAGAAAAGCAGAAGACATCCCTGATGTCTAGGACTGCAGTAGGGAAATATATTCACTCAGACAAGGAGGTAAGTAAAGGGAAATCTGCAGAGAACCCACAAGAAGGCTGTTATCACCTGGTAGCACCTGATCTGTCTCAGGATAGCACCAGTCAAGTAAGAATTCCTGTATCCTTTATACATCTCCCCTACCCCTGTCCCTGGAGAGGTCAGAAACTATAGTTAACGATCTAAGGGAAGATGAGTAAAGAAACAAAGAAACAGCCTGTTGTTTCTCAACTACATGCTTCTCACCCACTGTAAGCCTTAGTAAGGGGAGGAGAGAAAATTTAACTATAAATCAACTTTGATATTTTGTCTTCTTGAGTTTGTTTTAATTTAGGTTGAACTATATGAAATTGTTGCTATTTGATCATTTTTTACCTACAAATACAGCA